GCGCATGCATAAACTGTAAAGAGAAGCGGACCAAGACACGAGCATTGCGGAACACCATACCGCAGGTCAAACTTATCAGATGCAGCTCCCCCATCAGAGACTCGCTGGGAACGGCTAGACAAATAAAATCGAAAACAGTCGAGGGCAGTGCCATTCAAACCAAGTTTTGACGATAATCTGTTAGGGAGAATGCTGTGATCAACGTTATCGAGATCAAGCAATACAAGGATAGTAACGTGCTGCTAGATAGAGATAGATAGATAGATAGCTTTATTAAAAATCATTGCAGCCCAAGGGCTGGATTACGGACTGTAAAATACGTTGAATACTAAGACTAACTATTATAAATAAATAACAGTAAATAAATAAAACAAAAGAACAAGGATACTACGTCATGAAATTTAAGAAAAGAGCTGCGAATTTACAATAAAACCATTAGAAAATAGCCGCGTTATGCATGATAAAACTATTCATTAGTCTATTTGCTCTACAAAGAGGCACGTTAAAAGCGCGCTTTCTCCTTAAGGCTACAGTACTAAGATTACGTGGCGGCAAAAGGCCATGTAATTTGTGGAGGCTGTTGTCCTTAATCTCATTGAATAGGCGCTCTGTCAGCCATTGGCGCCGTTGATGGAGGGTGGCAATATTACACTCTTTTGAGAGCCTCTTGATAGCCTAAATCTGGGAAAATAATTCTAAGTGCACGGCGCTGAATTTTCTCTAGCTCTTCAGAGAGATACTCAGGCAGACCATTGTGGAAAACTTGGCAGGCATATTCAGACATGGGCCGGATACACGTAGTATAGAAACAAAGTAGCTGCGCAGGATCTCCTTTTGCACGCTTAAGCTGCCTTAATAGATATAGCCTAGAGGCTCCTTTTTGATAACATTCTCTATGGGAGCGTTCCACTTTAGATTGTTTGAAATTGTGAGACCAAGAAGTTTTGCGCTAGTTACAACCTCAATTGGTTTGTTGTTAATAGTAACTGCTTCGAAAAGGATCTACAGACCTTGAGAAACTTATCTGCAACTCTTTACACTTGGTCTCATTCAATTGAACTTATCTATTTCGGCTTGCCTAACTAGGTCGTTTACACCAAATTGGATTCCACTTGGTTGGCCCTCGTGGACTGTCTCGGCCATCGATGTGTCATCGACGTACTTCCAAAGGTTGACGCCATTGACATTGAAGCTGGGCGTTTTATTGGCTCCTCATAGAATTCTTTGATGTTGGTCAAAACGAGATCCAGAGTCTGATTTCCTCGAGTATGGAATTGGACAATTTGTTTCAGCTTAAAGCGTTCCTAAAACTCGAGGTATCGAGTCTGTTAAAATCCCCCATGATCAAAACTCCACAATTTGAAAAACGCGATTCAATTGTAGACATTGAGTCGTAGAGATAGAACAAGATCTCAGAGTCAGAAACGCCTTTGTCTGTCTGTGGATGGTAAACATTGGCAATGATTATACAAGATAATCTCCTAGGGAGGCGCGAAGGTCGTAATTGAAGCCAAATTGCTTCAATTTTATCATCATGTAGATCTTCTAAAACGGTATACTTCAGCCCTTTCTTGATGTAGGTACAAACGCCTCCGTGTGCAACGTCTATCCTGTCTCTTCTCACTAAGTTATACCCAGGAATACAGACGACATTGTCGTGAATGTGGTCGCGCAACCAGGTCTCTGTTATGCAGGCAATGTCCAAGTTTGCATTTGTAATAACATCAGAGACTTCATCCACTTTGGGGGCCAAAGACATTACGTTCGACAATAAGACAGACGGAACGTAGACTTTCCTCGCTCCTTGTTGGTTTTGTTGTGATGGAGAAATGGTTATACAATTAGCCATGTTTCGGTGTCGCCGGGAGCTTCGTGAATGGTTGATACGGTTGGTTAGCTGCGCTTCGATGGGATAGCGACATCTGTTTGCTCTTTCCCTCACTCGGCGGCCGCCTCTTATCCCTCTAAAACAGGGCCACATGCGCCTAACATCCTTGCAAAGATTTCGAAACTGATAAAACTCCATAAGACTTAAAAATAAAAACAAATTTTCAATAAAATTAGCGGAGCCAAAAAGTGCAGCCAAGCACGGCGCATTTACATAAGCATGTTGTTCATATTTAACAGAATATCGTTCATTACTTTCAAAAGTGCTGTTTCAGTGCTGTGATTTCTTCTATAAGGTGACTGGCAACTGGGTATAAGTTACTACAAACCAGGTGACCATGAATCTGATTGAAAGCAGCCCTTTCAATGAGTTTAGACACAAAACACAAGTTGCTCACTGAACGGAAGTTCTTTAAGATGACATCGAGACCGCGTTTCTTTAACAGTGGAAAAACTAAAGCCTCTTTCCAAATTTTAGGAAAACGCCCAAACTGTAATGAGTTGTTTACGATTTTTGTGTGAGAACTGGGAGGAGATCCTCAACCAGTGTGGATGGATAAGCTGTTTAACATCTCGAACTGATAGCATCGTAAAAGTAGGGAATGATGGCGCAGTCTCATCAAGAACAGCAGACAGAGCGTCATCTTCTGGACGTCAATCAGTTTCATAGTCTCATCAAGAACAGCAGACGGAGTGTCATCTTCCGGAAGCGAATCAGTCTGCTGAGCAGCAGACGGAGTGTCATCTTCTGGATAAGAATCAGTCTGCTGATTGATGTCAAGCTGTGTGCTGATAGTATCTATCTTCTGAACAAAGTATTTCCCAAGTCGTTAGAGAAAGTTCTACTGTCCAGATGAGGTGGGACAACATCATCCATTGTGCGGTTAAATAAGCGCTGACTTGCATGGAATAGTTTCTTTTGATAAACACTATTATCGTCTATAAAGTTGCTGTAAAACTCCTCCGAGCCTTGTTCATAAGACGGGTAGTAACATTACGTTTTGCTTTAAAAGCAGCAAGATCGGACTCTAATCGAGATTTCCTCAACCTCTTTTCAGCCTTCCTTCGTTGACGCTTCCCCTGATCTCCTGACTGAACCATGGGACACGAGGTCTCCGAACGATTGTCCGACGAGTGTCAGGCGTGCAGAATTTCGCTTTTATAAGAACGATGTCTATGACTTAATGCACGTCTTGGGTTTCTAGAGACAATTACGTGCTACAATGGATTGACTACTCCGGGTATAGAGGGATCCGTTCAGAGAGTGTTGATTGTAAAGTATTGTTTTCTCGATAGATTGAGTTGTCGTTAACCGTAGAATGAGGGTTGATTAGACTAGGGCTTCCTTTTAAATGTTTAATCTTAAATCATCGCCACACAATACATCAGATCAAACAAAATTAGTAAAGAACATGTAATGGAGAATTGACAAAAAACAGTTAAACAAATACCTAGCTCTTATCAAAGCGATTAAATGGTCAATTAAGGACACATAGACGGCCATAAACAGAGCAGTGCAAAGCTTCGTTAGAATGGTTAGAGGACGTCCAATAATAGTAGAAAATATACATTTCGCCAAATCCAGTCCCTAAACCAAGGGCAGTACAAATCAAAAAAAGTTACAAAGATATTAATCAAAATCTTTGCTTCAAAGTCCTTACAGAAAGCAATGTTCCCACTATGATAATGCGACTGGAATTTTCTTAAAGTACTATTTCCAAATTTTTGCCAGATTTCTATTGTCAAATCCACTTTTTAGGGTTCACTGGGCCTGTCTGTTTAACAAAATGCTCAGACTGTTTGATCCTATGAAAAGCGAAGTTCGACTCTTGATCATCCAAGAAACACTCTTTGGGAAGATCGCTTGAGTTGTAAATCAATAGAGTTTGAAAAAGAAAATCTGTTCAATATAGACTAAGATTACCCAAAGGTGGGTTCTTATTGGAGGCAAAAAAGTTCAGGAGTGTTTGGGAGGGCTTTAGCTACATGTAGAATAAATGTTAAGGTTATGGTTTTTCTTAACTTCATAAGAAAGATTATTCTGCCCATTACTGTTATACCGTATTTTGGTTTGGTGAAACTTTAAGATTTCGTTCTAGGCCTAACGATGCTTTATACCGACATCTTTAAATGTGTCACGTAGTGTTTATCAGAGTGTAGAATTATCTAAAGAATTCTTTAAGTTATAGCTGGAATGACAATTTACTACGTAACCTCCTGTTCAGCCACTTTTTTCTACGTTTCGTCTTATGAGAGCTCAGCTTGAAGGTTTTCCTAAAACTTATTAAGCAGTTTATACAAGAGCAGCTTGCTGTTCCTGTAGTTTTATGAACTATAAAAGCAAACGCAAACACTACTGCGTGTGTTATAAGCCTTTGATATTACATTTTATCCTGTTGCTGGGCCTTTTCTATTGTCTGCTGAAAAGCGTTCAATATTCGGTGAAATTTTCTATCCATCATTCGTTCCAGCTGGACTATTTTCTCCTCTATTTCTCTTCGTTGAACCATTGTCGGCTTCTGGATGTGCATTCTTCCCACGTGTTCGGTTTTTACACTCTTCACAACCCTGGTCGTCCTTTCAAAGAACGATTCGGCATTTTTTCGCTGCTGGATGTCCATTTCACAGAGGTCCTCTGTATCTTGTAGGCCCATATGATCTAAGGAACATTCTGTCTCCGACGATTTTGTTGGCACAATGGTTTCCTGATCTATTCCTCTGTCAAAAGATGATTCAATGGTTTTTCGCTTCTGGTTGTCTCTTTCGCACAGGTCCTCTGTATCTTGTAGGCCCATATGATCTAAGGAACATTCGATCTCCGACGATGTTGTTGGCACAATGGTTTCCTGATCTATTCCTCTGTCAAAAGATGATTCAATGGTTTTTCGCTTCTGGTTGTCTCTTTTGCACAGTTCCTCTGTATCTTGTAGGCCCATATGATCTAAGGAACATTCGACCTCCGTCGATGTTGTTGGCACAATGGTTTCCTGATCTATTCCTCTGTCAAAAGATGATTCAATGGTTTTTCGCTTCTGGTTGTCTCTTTTGCACAGTTCCTCTGTATCTTGTAGGCCCATCTGATCTAAGGAACATTCAACCACCGACGATGTTGAGACTTCGATGACTTCTTCGGTTTCGGTACCCTTATGTATTTCTCTGCTTAAAAGTCGAAAAGCATCATTCATTCGCTGACAGGACAAGTAAAACTTGCTTTCGATTCCTTCCAAGGTGTCTAATATCGAATCACGCTCTTCACTCTGATGTCGATCGCTATCCTTAAATTGAGGGATCCTCACGATTTTATCCACTTCGTGACGGGAAGTCATCTAAATGAAAACAAACATAACCGTCTTTAATTATTGATTGTCAATGCTATTATCTACCTTCCCCGTATGGCGTTCCAGTGGCATTATAAACAAACTTTAAAATACAATAAATAGTGAGAATTCATTATTCCGTACAAATTAATATTGCAACAACATAAGAACGGAAAAAACTCTTCTCTTTCCCCCAAAAATGCTAAATTCAAATGCTAGTTAAACCTTCATGCTCAACGTTCATCTAAACGTTGTAGGGTTCATTATTATATGGAAAGAAAATCAAGACACGCTGCTGAAGGTCAGAACCAGAGAAATATCTGAAACCTGATGGGAAGTTGCCTCGCCTGGAAAGTATTCTCAGCGATGTAAAATGAAGTGATGATGAAGATAACAAACCAGTGGCTAAAGACCACTGGACCCAAGGCCGCAACATATGTTCTAATTATATCACCCTTTATGATTTGCCCATTCATGCAGATAAGCGAAGAGGTATGTGATGAAGGACCTGTTTAGCCTAGTCCAGAACAGACATGAGAAAAAGTGTATTCCCATAACGGTGGGTGAAAGACTTCCATCAAGGTGTTTTAAAAAACTTTCCAAATACAAAGACCTGGAAACAGGAATGGCACGAGTAGTGTAAATGAAAACGAAAGGAATCTATGTGGTCATAGGCGCATTAGGCGTCATTAGGAAAGGCTTCTGATTCAGTGACATTGCAGATGTCAACCTGCCGGACATCTGAAGACTGAGCACTTCTTGGAAAAGTGCTTACTTTAAGAAGGGTTCTAACTGAACACCACTCTGAAACCCATGATGATGATGATGATGATCATAGCGGTGGTGGTGGTGATGATGATGATGATGATGATGATGATGATGATGATAATGATGATGATGTTAACAATAATCGTATTAATCCTGCCCTTCCCCAAAAATATACCACAGCAAGAAACAGGATTGTTTGATGCTTGCTCCGTTTTCTGAAATGGCGTTTGTACAATCAACAAACTTTGGCGGCCACATAGAAGGTTTTCATCGTTTCAATTCAATATCAATTACAGCCCCTAAAACGAGGCCCTACCCAGCAAAGGTGAGGGCAAAAATCTGCACGAGGGTCAGAAGACCAGACATAGTAGAAGAACAGAGAACTGGCATAGGGTGTAAGATTATCGTCATTATTGATGTGGAAACACCCGGTGGGTTATAGCAGGGTATTGGCAAAGGAAAGCGAGAAAACTGACTAATATCTGAAAAGAGGCAATAAACAAAGTCGTGGTGATATCTGTTGTGGTAGGAGCATCTTGAACGAACTCTAATCACTTTGAAAAAATTGAAGAGAAAAGAGCATGTAACTTGGGAGGTTAAGGCTTTGCCAGCAAAGCGGAAAGTCGTTGGGGTACAAAAAGCCAAAACTCCCTTGTTAAATCCGCGCAGATGCGATGCACACAGGCAAACATGGTTCCTTTACAGAAAGATAAAATGAAAATAAATTCGTTAACCTTTGCCAGCACTCTTAATCCTGTGTGTCCCATACCAATGTAGGGATACAATTTCCCATTGTGAGTGTACTCCAGTAATATCTCATTCTCATGCTCAGTGATCGGCCTTCCGTTTAAATAAAACACGATTGGAACTTTCCCATCTTTTGCCAAGTCAAACTTGACTGTGCAGCCAATCAAGTCCCCTCTGTAGGCCATGGCGCCTGCAAAGAAAATTTGGAAAATAAGTTTAATTACTTGGCCAAACACTGCGGCCTGACAATGGCGAGGAGACCTAAATGAATTATATGTAGCGCCTTAAAGCTTTGGCTAATTAGACCTCGGTATTTGTAATGCTAAGCCTCGTGCAAACGGACTTAACATTGTTGGCCAACAACTCTCAACACTCTGGGAAGTTACATATTGCGTCCGTCCGTTACCTTGTTGCATGTTGTTGCTGCTTTCCAGTTTACCTTTTAGTATAGTACGCTTTCGACAGTAGTTGAATGCGAGTCAAGGAATAAACCTGTTTAATTTCCTTGCTCTTTAGTGGATAGAACCCGCTCGTCTTTGGTTGGCCATAGCTAAAACTAATGCTAATTAAAAATTAAACCAGACTTACCTTAAGTTAAAGATTGATTGTAAGTGTATCGATCCAATAGAGATACGTAGGGATTACGTGAGATTGAGCACGTGACCTGCAAACTGCATATTTTAAACGAGGCGGAAGGAACAGATTTAGATGTATGTTGGTGATGCCATATAGGTGGGTAGAACTTGGTCATCTAAAAAGACTGAAGTATCAACTTTGCTTGTGGATGCAGCTTGGGTACTGTGCGGTGTGAACATGGCCATATCAACACCTATATTTCAGTTGTAAGGTGATCTTATCCTATGGTGCAATAGTAGACTTACTCACCACTATGTGTGGTTTAGTAAAGCCGATAAACAGGGCAGTTTGATTTCGCCTGAGTTCCCCCGAGTCCTCTTAATATAAGCAGCAATAGTGGAAACTATGCTAAAATCAGGTTCCTCTGGCTAAGCAGTAAACTCCAATGCTGCTTGATGTCTTTCTGGTTTGGTTTATGTATAGTCTGCAAACGTTGGGCATAAATTAGAACCACAGTGTGACAGTTTTGAGTGAAAGGTTTTTAAGGGACAATCGATCAACAGGTGACAATGTCCCACACAATTTTGTTCCTTGGAAGAGCAGGGCGATTCTCAAACACATCTTGATGAATCGAACAATTACAAAATATTGCGTCTGTATACATAATGCACGATAATGCAGACCTGGCTGTATTAATGCAACTTTAACCCAGACCTTTGGTAAACAGAGACGTTAAGAAATCAATTACAGTTCCAAAGTGGGCGAGCTGTGATCCCTGTTCCTTTTACTAGAAAGTCCAACCATTGTTTGATGAAGGGACCAGGTTGTTGTTGTACGGATGTTTCCATGAGGACATGAGAATGTCTGTAGCTTGCTTGAGTGTGACCCTCATTGTGAGGTCTTTTAATTACAAGTTCATCAACTCTGTGACAAAAATCACCATCTAAAGAAGGTGATGAACGGTTCTCCCGTTAGCAATATTTCGTTTAGTGAGTTTTCTCCCAAAGATTCCAGCGTTGCATTCAATTTTGACTGCCCACTCGGACGCTTTTTTTTGAGCGACTGTTTGTATCATTCCTAGAAATTTTTCCATTAATTCCTCGGTATTTGAACCGATTTGATTTACAGCAGAGCCCATTGTCGAAGTGTGTCTTTCCAGGTTGGGTTTAGTGATTCTGTGAAGTCTTTGACTTTACGCGTGACTGTTCGTTCGGCTTCTGTCTGTTGCAGCGGAAGCGCCATCCTGATTCGTCTTAGCCCTCTTGCCTCTTGATCTCGTTCTCGCCTCCGAAGCCGACCTTTCGAGGCCGGGAATTAAAGAATTGCAAGTTTTTTTCTTCTGTTACAGGACAGGTGATGGAAGGAGTCGTTTCGTACGTGTGCGCGGTGCTTGGATAAGTTGATTTTCCCTTCTCAAAATAACCGAGTACCGAGTACGGTTTGCCAGTTGCTCATGCGGTGTGCTGGTCACGTGTTCAATCTCACATGTAGTATCAATTGGTGCATGAGGTAAAATCTTGTCCGTGGGACTCGTGATTTTTTCGCAACCTCACTCTTGTGAGATGGTGATTATTAAATCGTTCTCCTTTTCAAATCTCATTTGGAAAATTTATAACATATGGAAGGAAGAAATGTCATTGGTCTTGTCATACAATAGAAGTTTTTACGTAGAAATTCCCTTAAGTCTCTAAAACTAACTCGAAAACTGAAAGGATTAGTTATCCTCCAAGTTAATTTTCTTCAGCTCTTTTTCCTTACCTTCATACTCTCTTCCCTTTGTAGGGTTGTTTGCGTCAAATATTTTTCCCTCATCAATGTGATATCCCACGGATCCTTTTAGCCAACCCGGCAGGGCATGATTTCCATAATATTCACCAACAACACCCAATCCTAAAAGCCGTCTTTTTCCAGTTTCCTGAATAAGAACCTAGATAAAAAGATGTAAGTAATAACTGATAGAAAAAAATGCTAATGCTTTCTGGGTGGTAGATTCACAGCCACATCATATCTGACTTGAAATTACATTTAAACGATCAGAATCTATATTTCAGCTGAAATTTTTGTTAAAAATTGTATCCACTCTTTTGAAAAACACTTTTCCTGGCTTACTTAAATACGACGTACCTCAAAATGGGGCGAATCTGGAGAAAAAGGGAACTTGTATCTTGCACCGTGATATTCAGCTGGATAGTTTATATCTTTGCATATGCCGCAAAGTTTGCTTCCTTCACTAATTAAAAGACATCCTTGGATTCTGATTCCCTCTTTTTGCCAGGCCTGGAAGAAGCGCGTTTATTTATTAAAGTCGGTCAACCCAAAACTACATTATTTACGTAATATTATTCCATACTTAATAATGTATATTGAAAGATTTCTTCAATGTGAATTGGCAGAGTTCAAATATGCAGTGTTTAGTAAAAACAGTGCAAAACGAAGAAACATAATGCACTGAAAAAATGAAATAAAATGCAAATATCTCAGAGAAAGGAACACTGTGATTGGCTAAAAAATAATATAAGGACCAATCAGGTGCCGCAATCTGCTGCCAGACACCTTGAAGTTTGCGAATGGACAAAGGCATCTAATAATTAAAAGAACCCACAGCCGAAATTAATTCTACAGCGGGTCTGCCATACATCAAAAGATTAACTGAACGACTTCGTCGTTGCCTACAACAGCACGGCATACGATCCGTTTTCAAGTCCGACATGATACGACGAAATCGATCTGATTCCAATTTTCCCGTTATAATTAGAAAACGTCGTCCAGCCTTTCGACGACTGAATTGATTTTTCGCTCTGATGAAAACGTAAGAAACAACTAAACTTTTTCATGCTGATAATCATCTGTTTCAAAATGACTGTTTGATGTATTATTTGCGGACAGTTTTTAACAGTTTATTTTTTAACAGACTAAAATGACTTTCTTTCAGAAGCATCCGAAACCATGGCAGGCCACATTTCTACAGCCGAGCAAGAACTCGTTCAAAAGAAATGTAAGTTTTTCTGTACTGATTTCTTTAAGGAGAATTTTGGGATATTTGAAGTCATGTTCTTCTTATTTTAGACCTGCATGTCATTGTGCTAATTTGAAGTTGCACTTCAAGATAATAAAACTTCAGTTTTGCTTTAAAAATATATATTTTCGTGTTCTTTTGACAGCGAGTAAGTGCAGGTATTTTGTTTGGACGGAAGACCATGATGTCTTGATGCTTTGCGAAGCTGTAACGAGCGAACCTTACAATTTTAAACCGAAAAGCACCGAGAGAGGGAAAGTATGGGAAAGCATCGCAGCCTATTTGAATTCTCTGAAGACTCCAGAATTCAGGGTTGCAGCAAGGGTAGCGAGAGATCGATATGGACTCCTGATCTCCCGGCGCAAACTAAAGCAAAGAGAAGAAGAGAAAGCCTCTGGGATAGATGTCCCCGAGCTCACAGAGCTTGATGCCTTGCTGGAGGAAATTCGCGAGCGAGAGAAAAGCGCAGAAGAAAAGAGTGACGCCTTGAGAAACGAGAGGAAGGCAAAAGATGAGAAAGAAAAAGCTAAAGCAGAGGAAATCAGACAGGCGGCTCTTCAGACAATTGCAATTAGAAAGAGCGATGATAGTGGCGAGAAACCAAAAAAAGCTAAATTGAGGAGGAGCACCTCTGATGCAATCGGATTTTTGGCCGAGAAGTCAGAGAAAGAGAGAGAATTGAAAAAGGAAGAGTTTGCCATCAGAAAAAGAGAGCTTGATCTAGCAGAAACCAAACAAGAGGAGGCTGCGCAGCAGCAACAGACCATGTTCTCAGCGCTGATCAACACGATGCAGCAACAGCAGCAGCTTCAACAGCAAAACCTTCAAATTATGCTTGACCAGCAAAACAAGGTATTTATGGCAGTGATGGAAAATATAAAAAAGCATTAAGCTCGAACCTTATGAATGTGGAAGAGCCCTGAACTTGTTGAGTTGACTTTTGTTATGACTTTAGTTATCTTCAAGAGCATTGTTGATGGATGTAATTATATTTCTTTTCTATAGAGAGTTTTGTAAAGTTTCTAGAAGAAATAAAACATTGTTTTTGCTAATAGACAGATGTTTTTCTGTACAAAGGGGCCTAAATGCCCAAACTTTCCCCTAATGTACAGTCACTAAATGCACAAAATAAATCTTAAGAATAGTATTTATAGCTGGGTCTATTTTTTTTCTATTGTTTGATTAGCTGAGCTTTTATGTAATTAGCTCATAGTATTTCTTACATTTAGTGAGTCCACTCTAGAAATTGAGCCAATTTCGAGCATATGCATCATCAAGGCAAAATTTGTAAAAGAAGCATGGGTCTCTTCATTCAGTCATGTTAGATTGGGGTAGCTTTCACCCAGGGTTGACTATGTAAAAATTCATTAAGTCGCCACGGTAAACATCCTGGGTTAGTGCCAGCCCAACCTCCAATATACAGGCCCTTGGGCTCCCATATTTGTAAAATGTTTGATAAAGGAATTCCAAAAAAATAGCCTGACCCTGCAACGTTGTGCTTAATTTTTTTTGATAAATCTCTTTTATTTTTTATTTATAAAATTAATTTAAGTTAATTAACCACAGTTTTCTGAAAAATGGAAAATAAAGTTGGGAAATAAATCAATAGTTACAATAACATTTCTCGAAAAATAGAAAACGTTTAGAAATAAAATTGTGCTTAATTTTATTATTATTCATTTTCTCTTTAAAAAGTTCAATGGTGTGAGAAATAGTCTTAAATTATCAGCATACAAATATCTACCATGTTTAACTGCAGTTATAAGGTTTTGATACATATTTTATCAAAGGCATTGTAAACTGAGCAATAGTGTGGTTTCCTAGCCAAAGTATGTGTCAGGAGTAGGTGGCCTAAGGTAAAAAAATTCTGAGGTCATGTTACCATACAAGCATGTCTTTGCATTACGCAGTATGACAGAAACAACATAGATCTTTCCAAAACTGCTGAGGAAAAGCTTCAGATCTTTTTTAAAGTCATTAAACTTAAACGAGTTGATTACATCTCCGAACAGCCATTCAACAGAACTTCTAACAGCACTCATCTCTGCACACAGACTGCCTAGCCAGCTGGATTGTAGGCAAACCGATGAAGGTCGTGTAGTAGCTGTGAATCGGCAAGCATTCCTGCATCATGTTTTCTTCCTTCTAAAAATAGGTAGGTGATGGTAGGTATCAGTGTAAGAGTAAAGGTTGCGGACAATTGGGTTGCATAAGCTGTTGATTATATGCGTACTTCAGAAACTTTTTCCTAATTTCATCTTGAGTTTATATTTATTTTAAGGGGGGAAGGGGGACAGTCCCCTCTTCCCTCTGGCTATGCTCCCAATAAACTGTTGAGGTGATCTCACCTTGGTAATCATTATTGAATAAGAAAATCAATAAATTTAGCCTGTCGTATAGCCTTGAAAAATGTGCCTTTAATTTTTCATTTTTTTTCCTTTTTTAAAATAAGTGCAAGGTCTACAGAAATAAACATTTGGTCACATCCCTGCTTTAAAGCTGGTGGCCTGTACTGTTTTGTAACTTACCAACTGGGCCATATAGATTTCCGATCAAGCCATTTGGCAAAGCAATGGAAATTTCAGGGCATGAACCCTTTTATGCCCGTTGTAAAGAAGTCGCTGATGTTCTCCAGGTCTTGATATAGGCCTAACGGTACCGTCAATAAACCCAAAATAATTGGGCAGTGGGGCTCCCCTGGCTGTCACAGCATCAACATAAGTCTGCAGGTTGACAGGACTAAGGACCTCGTGATTCCAGTTTAGTACTCTATTCCCGTGAACATTATACACAAAGTCAATCATTTGATTGGTGATCATGCTAAGAACTGGAACAGGTTTAGCGAATCTATGGACCATGTCTCCATATCTGCGTGGGTAAGAAAGCAGCTTTAGCAGCATGCACAGACCTTCTAGTCCATCACAAACGGAGCGCTGACTGCAGGTTATCGTGTCAGGGATTAGCAAAACTTCCTTCAGAATTCGTATATCTCGTTTTCCAAAGCGAAACTCTGCAAAACTCTCAGACTTATCAAGCTCTTCCAGGTCAAAAGGTGCGTACGAATCGTACGGAAAGTCGAGGTTTTTCGATGCATAGAGGTCGTACAGAACAACAAATTCATCATTATTGATAAAGCCATCGTTGTGATTAATTAGAAGTAGACTTCGGACGTTTTTGAAAGCCATATAGCTAGAGCTACTTGTCAGATAACCAAAAATCGTCGTCTCCTAAAAACAACATACTGCTTAACTTTCGTTTTTCCCGCCGAGAACGAAAGCTTCGACCCAATCCTCCTTGGGTTACAAACGTCGTCGTCATGTATTTCGTTGTCGATGCTTAAGGTCCCTATTAACTGAGATCACACTTACTAGGACTTAAGGATGCTGTTGATGTACGAAAACAAGATGGAGTATTGAATAAGATTCCTTGTGAACACGGTAAAGTATACATTGGCGAGACGGGAAAGTGGATGTATGAACGGATCAAGGAGCACAATTGAGATATACGGCTTTCGCGAACTCAAACTTCAGCTGTTTCCAATAAGACCAGGCATTATCTGCTCTGGGACAAGGTTAAGTTAATTGACCGCATATTAGCGGAGCTCTCGCGCGCGGAGCGCGCGCAGCGGAGCACCATTGGTAAAAAAAGTGGTAAACCACCCATCCGAGAAAATTTGGTAGTCACGTGACCGTACACCGACCGACCTCCCGACTGTCCGTCCGCAGCACAGGCATACCAATGTAAAATAATTCAATCAACAGGTATGGCAACCCAAATGCAACTCAAGGTTTTATTTGGAAAGAAATCGCATGGCCGCCCGGACTTTTAGAACGAGAAAATAATATCAAAGTCCTGTCTTTTTCGACCCTATTTTTGATGTTCACACTCACGTGGATAACAGAAAAAGAGCTAGAGCGAGTGATTAAAAACAAAAGAGACGAATTTTGTAGGAAGAAAAACATGAAAATTCAAAGCGGCTGTGAGACAAAGAGAAAAGCTAGCGGCCAGCAAGGTGAAAATGAGCGGCAGTGAAAAATAAAAGCGAACATGAACACAGAAGACAAAATATTGGGTAAGCACATACCACAATTCCTCCATAAAAATAATGTATAATTAGGAAGTTTGAAGCTTTAGTCCTACCAAACAGCGTTGTAGTTGTGCAAAACAACGGCAAAAAAGACAAAAAGCGTGCTGCATGTGCAATTTGTTGTTTTGTTAATTAGATCTATTGATCTTGACTCCATTTTCATCGGCCGAATTTATACTAGAGAGAAATTATCCGTCCCAGACGGATAATCCGTCTCTAGTATAAATTCAGTGCTAAGACGAATTACGGAGCGAAATTCGTCTTCAAATTTATACTTAGACGAATTATCCGTCTGACGGATAATCCGTCTCTACGGATAACTCGTCTCTAGTATAAATTCTGCCATTGCCCCCCCGTTTAGCACTACACGATTTAATTTCTTTTGTTTACAAGTATTATTAACCACAGCTTCGCTTTTAGCCCTGGCTAAATCTATATATTCTTAAAGGGTGATCATACGACTTTTCTTGTTCAATTTGGACTGAATTTATTTGCTCTGGTGTGTTTTCAAATTACCATACTTTTTGAAAAACATACTCGTGCAAATTAATTCCAAATTTCAAATTGACCTTGAAGTCGTATGATTGCCTGTACAATTTTCTGCAAACTTGTGCGGTGGAGGTTCACAAAATCTTGTAAGAAAAGAAATTAGAACAATCCAATTTAACAACGAAAAATCATAATAAAATTCATGTCCATTATGAGATGGAAGCATACCTCGGGACCAGCGGGAAAAATGGAACCATTTATTCCACTTGCTGCAAATGTTTTGTAAGCAATCTGATTTACCATTTGCCTGTTTCGCTCAAGTTCTTGAAGAACGAAGTCCATTTTTCTTTCATCTTAATAGCAAAGAACAAAAATAAAGGTGCTTAATTTACTTCCGCAGACGTTGCGCTTGAGCAAACAGAGTACCTGCATACTGCAAAGCATAAAGTAAAGGTAATTAGAATATAAAGCGAATGAACTTAATTATCGATCACTCAATATTGGGTAAATGGCAGCGGACTCGGAACTGGTGAAAATAAATAAACGAAGATGAGCATTAGTCATGAGCTTTTGGCGGGAAGCTGTTGAGGATCATACGTACTAAAACAACATTTTTTACCTGTCAGAGGAAATGAGTAGCCATAACTGGAAAGGTACTCATTTTGTAGTTTTTCCACAACTTCATTCAAAGCCTTTCCTTTTTTCTTCAGGAAATTCTAAAAATGAATAAGCTAGGAGTTAGAGAATCCAAAATGAATAAATAAATAACCAAGTCTAGCTGCCAAGGTAAGTAGGCCAAACTGCTTTACAAAAGCCTCAAAACGCCTAAAGGATACAAAATAACATTTTACAGGCAGAATTTAGGGTTAGCTAGTTCTGATTGAAAATCATTTTTTGGTCTATTAGGCAATAAAGGTGTTTTAGCAACCCCGTTGATCTAACGCATTCCTTCTATGGTGTCCTAGGGTACTGCCATTTACATGGGGTAACCTGAAATTCCGGAATGTTAAATGGTTCGGCCATTCAGTTTGGGAAGCTCCAGATAATAATGGACTGTAGTTTGGGACGATGTAATTTTACCAATTTGTTCGGACTCTGTTCAGCTGATTTGGATAGACTTCGTAACGGGTCGTTCTACCACCACGTCAAATTTTGTAGTTTAATGTACATGCACAAAATTTTTACCCGAGTAGTTTGTATAAATGGACGGTACACTCTTAGTTAAAAGTTACTCACTCGACTACTGAAACTGTTATTATCCTGTTGTCCGTCGCAGCAGCGCCTCGAACAGAGAAGGTACAACCGTTTTATCCACAGAAATGAATTAGATATAAGGTTAAGGGGCACAGGTATTGGATGATATGCCCTGTATGTCTGAATGGTAATGGCTTTCTTGAACGACCATTCTTTCATGGAGTTATCCTTAAAAAACGAGAGAAAAAGATTATCTTAATTAGCTGCTATCTTAAAGAAATCTTGAACTTCAAAGTATAATCAGATTTTTAACACATTACGGTAGATTTCACCACAAGCGAATCCCGCAACGTAGCAGAGCAAGCTAAGAACAAGCGGTCATCCTACATTCATCCTACAAAAGTGTCTGTATATTCATTCAAAGAAGGATATAAAACTTCAATTTACGCCAAATAACAAAAAAATGATTTACTCTTAAAGCAAATGCAAACGGTATAAAAAGGTAAATACTTTGATTATATACGTACATTTAGCTACTCCAGCTAGTTTATAAATACTGCGCACAAATAATCATGGAGACAATCCAATTAGCTGAATTAGGACATAATAGAACGCATATCCCATCTTTAGCAGTCTCTCTTTTTTCTTAGTCCGTCTACTGAAACGCGCGAGACACGAAAATGATCACACGCGTTGTGGAAGGCACGAAACGGGAGAGGCGCGAAAAAAGTGAGGGCAACGTATAATTCATGTGCGCTGGCTATGGAAGCATTCGCTCTTTTTTCTTCTCGGGCTCGCCCTCGTTTCTCGCGTGAGCACTCCTCTTGCTAAATCTGAAGAAAAAGAGACTGCTCGTAGTCTAATCTTGGTTAGAGGAGGAGTTGAAATCGAGACGCTGAGTTAAACGAGGACTGTAGAACTCCTTTTACTCGGAAAGATTAGTGAAAGGGTATCTTTCGGACCTGGTGACTCTGGTAACGACTCAGCCACGCTGGCTTCCGATAATTAGTGGCACGACTGCCCATAATATCTGTCTCCGTCTCAAGCTGATACCATGTGCCCGACATTTTCTATTTTGCTGCGTGCACTACAAATATTCTTCTTTCGAAGACAAATGTGTGAGAAAATGTCTCAAAGATTTCAAAAGATGATCTTCGGTCGACCTTACCTTCACTCGTTGGTAAGTGTTAGACAGTAGGGCTATCATCATATTAACGAGAAGAATGACTCCCATGATAAGAAAGGCTGCAAAGAGGAAGTGCGCGATAGTGGCTGATGCACTATCCACTGATTCTAAACGGTCCAGCGTCACTATTCCAAGAAAAGACCAAGAAAGATGCTTCACCACGCTCCACCAACTGATGGATGATAACGAAAAAATATTTTACAAAATGTTAACTTTTGGAGCCGAGTTACAAGCTGTCGCGTTCGGTGCCATCATTGTACCTTTTTTTCCTATGTGAATTCAGTCATACAGCTCCAGAATTTCGACACCGCGGTCTTGAATTTGCAGCCCTATACAAAGGCATCGTGATGGCCCAAGAAGCTTGTGAGAAATGAGTAAAGGGAGATCTTTCGGATCAATTTAGTTTTCTGGGAAACTTCCCAACTAACCCGCCTCCCCTAAGCTAACATTAGCACGTACTTTTCACTTAGGGAAAAATGTTGGCTTAGGGGAGGGGTAGGTGGTCAGTTTCCCGAGAAACCTAAATCGATCTGATCTTTCTACGATAATTTCAATGTCCATAAATCGCTAGAAATTAAGAAGAACCAGGTGGTGGCTTATTTTTTTCTGAAAAAACTTAAAGCCAAGAAAAATGAGTTCATACGCTTTTACCAGGTTATTTCAATCAGACGCCCATGACAATAAAAAGAAAAAGTAAGTGAAACATAATAACTATAAAATAGCTTTTTTGACATGTGCTGTTATATACCGGTGACGGAGAATCAAAAACTTACTTACCACACTAACCCACTGGACATTTTGCAGGCACTATAGTAAAACAAAAACAAGGTGATGATACATCTATAGTTTACCAATCTTTTGTTTTCTCTCCTTAAAACGTACCGAACAAAAGGGGAAGATCAAGTGTAACCATTCAATTTAAATGTATGCGGAGACAACATAGCTGTATTAAAATTCGGCAGTTATTTCCTGCTGTAAGTCTTACTGTATTTGACCGTCAACACAAGTAGTCTCGTTAGTTCGATCTATGAAACTTTGATTCGCATTCCAGAAGAGACAGGGTTCGTGAGTGTCTCGAGAACTCTTGAATTTTTGGGCCTTGAAAGTCGTTGAAATTCTCCTTCATTCGTTTTGGTCCTAAAAAAATCTTGAATTTTAATTGAGGGCCATTTTCCATTCTCCAAAAAACTTTGGGAAATACCAGTTTAAAGCAAACAGAGAAAATTCGGCGTTGAGGAAATGAAAGTAAGGTATTGACTCACAATGAATTTTCATACAAATGGTTACCTTTTGGAGAACAAAAGCCCATCCATTATTATCGAAGTATATTCATAGTTTATTTGGAAAGTGAGTTAAAAGTAATAAATTAGGTCTTCGAAATTTAAAATTGTGGTACCTCAAAGACCTTGAAAAGTCCTTGAATTTTATATGGGAAGAAGTGTACGAACCCTGAATTTATAATATAGCGATGTAAGAAACCTGATGAAACACGTAGAATACTAAAATTGGAAATTATAAACTGTTAAAGCTGGTTTCTACACAATATTAGGATCTCTAAAAAAGAAAGTTCTTCAAGTTCAATTAATAGGGGAAACAGCCCTTCAACAATTGCTGAGATGGCTGACAGTTCTATTTTGAAAATTGATTTTCATAAAGTGTCTAACGTATAGTTAAGTCATTATCTGAAAACTCGTTTCCCACTGTGGGAGAAGAAGCGGCGAACACTTAAGGTTATACTCGGAAAAAACAGCGTACATTTCGCGACAAAATAGCAAACAAAAGATGGGAAAAGGAACTCTTTCGCCAGCCCTTTCTTCATTTCCCAACCAAAGATGTTAATCAAGTAACTGCTTTCTGCAAACCAAAAGAACTTTGCCTGCATTTTTACGGGGGCTATGGAGTGTCTTGCTGGAGGGTGTTTTATGTTAAATGTATGTTGTACTCACGATTCGGTGTCATTGTGTTTAGAAATGAATGATCTTTCTGCCATAAACACTTTTGTGATCGCGATAGAAAACGCTAAAATAGTTGAAGTAATCTGCCAGAAGATGGTCACCACGTCGCCAAAAATGTGAAACAAAGCGATCTGAATGTCGCCAATCCCCTTGATGGTTTCCAACACGTGGCCAAAAACTGGAAGAGTGAGGAACATGGTGTTAAGACCGTACGGATATCCAGCGATTACGAGAACTCGATTGTCAGTGGTCGATTCAGACAAGGCCCACGTGACTACTCTTAATTGAAAGGTCACCGTGTAGTTCAAAACGGTGATGAAGTCCAAAATGTTCCATCGATCACTACAGGATTAAAATATAAGATAAGGATTTGTTGACAGTTATTCTTTCTTTTTTGGTCTCTTTTTCCTCGTTTTCAATCTGTTTTTCATTCTCAAGATAAATATCTTATCTTATCTTTTAGTATTAAAAGACAATTCAACTACCGAATAGAGATACCTATTGTAGCCATTGTTTTAGAGTTTGAAAACAATAGCTACACTTGTAAATTACTCTTGAAAAAAATATTCATTCTCAAACACACCATATCTAACACGAACATTGACAGTACTGATCAGATTTGAAAGTCGGACCAGGGTATGTGTTAATGGAAGAAGTAGGGTTTGCTACGTGAAATATTTGTTGCATCTATGTAGAATAATGTCTACTTTTGTTGGCGTCGCTTCTTTTTCATTTTTCCCTTCTTCTTTCTTCTCTTCTTCCTCTTCATCGCCGCAGATTTGAGTGAATCCCGTTCGATTCTTCTCTTTAGTCTTTTCTTCCCACTTTGACCCCCTAGATTTCTTAGCAGTCACAGGCGCACACATCTTATGTTCTTTGACACCTAAGAACTGTCGACTCTCCATCAAGATCCTTCCCAAGAAGAACACCATTATCGTCCACTCTAAACCGCTGAACGGGATGCTTGAGGTCTCAAGACAAAGAGCAAAATGCAAACCAAGCAGCGCCAGGTAGCTGAGGGTATCTCGAATGAACACAAAGTAGGGAGTTGTGAAGTACTCTCGGTAACTTTCTGCAAACACCGAAAGAGATGCTGTAATCATCGTTTTCTTCATTTAGCATCAGCTTAGCCATGACTTTAAAAGTTAAATATTGTACAGGAACATAAACGCCGCTAAGCCGCCAAAAGTGGGAAAATTTTTATTCACTGCGGGTTTGCCACGCTGACGCTCCCGCTAGAGTTTCTTGACCCACGTTTGGGTGTAGGGGTGCAGCTGAGGTTTTAACCTCTGAAGCTGTTTATAACATAAATAACGTTAAATACCTACACTCTGCATGTACTGAAGACAGTATACAGATTTTTTGAACCTTTTAATTTTGTCGTTCCCTACTTGAAAGCAGTGGTTCAGGTTTGAATCAGGGGAAGTCACATATTATTTTAGTAGTTCAATTTAGATACAAAGCAGCACACCCCAACCCTATTTCCAGGACTTCCTCTTCAGTTTAAAGGTGCACCCCTTAATGTAACTGACAGGGTGTCTTGAGAAGTATCTATTTCAATCCGAAAAACGACAAAAACAAAAAATCAGAATAAAACCTTTATTTTGAACCCAAAATAAGAAAAAGAAATGAAAGAATGAATGAATAAAAAAAAAGAAACCGTTCGTTATCGTTACTCACCAAACAAATCTTTTCCATAAAGGTCTATAAAAAATAGAAAAAAAAGTAAGCAATTAAGAAGGTAAGGAAAAAGAAAGAAGCTCTGCGTTAATCTTTGGAATAAAAATCAAGAACACTAATATAAAAAGTTATAGTAACCGCAGTCCTGTGATATATTCCTCTTATACATCTCCGTATTATTCAATAAGAGAAGTATGGGGATAAACTTCTCTTTCCCTTCATGATACAGTTTTTTTATTAACTTATCTGTCAACATTTCTACCGTGTCAAAAAAAGCGAACCTTTTTTTTTTTAATTGGAAGCTTTGGAAGATTCCGTGTTCCGAAAACGTGTGTGGAAGCCGGGGAAAAGAATTCCTTGAGCTACTTTTGAAATTAGTGAATGGCAAGATGTTGAATGTGGTTACTGAATAGTACCTTAGCAAAAATAAAGCGGCGTTTTATTTCCCTGAGAGAAATTTTTCTTGACTTGAGTGTTCAAGTCACAAATGTATAACTGGAGTTAAAGTCACGAATGTAATAAGGGGTAGGTCGAAAGCGGAAGGGTTGAGTGCGTAAGAACGTGTTAAATTAGGTCCAGCTTTAAAATCGCAATACGGAAAGACCTGGAATAGGGTAAAAAATACATTGTAATTATAATTAAGATTATAGGTGCTATTTCAATGAAGGGGCATTTTTCCAAACGCAATACCACTTCCAAAAATTGATTCCTAAGTAGGCAAGGTGCACATGAAACGTGCGTAGGACCCCTCCCGCCCGTTACCGCTTTCATAATTTGTTAAACTTAACTGACAGCTATTTTCTTGCGCGAGGACGCATGATAATGTCAGCAAAATTAACAATAATTATGACCCACTCCTGATGTGATATTGGCGACTATTGTTACATTTGTGACCAATTACTCGCTACGTAAAGGCCCCTATTATTATTTCTGTGAAGTGCCGCTTATACAATCATTTGTGACTTCAATGATATTTGGCGCCAATCATTTCAGTTGTGACCTCAACCCTCGAGTGTTTTCGTTTAAACTAGAAGTACGTTATTCGTAACACGTCGCTTCGCGCTTGGGCCATAAATCGATGGAAAAAAACTCGGTCCGTAATTTACAGTACGGACCGAGAACTCGGCTTGAGGTATGTAATAATTTTTTCACAGGGGATGAAAAACATGATAGAGCACCCAGTGGTAGCCTGTGAAAACATCCGTTTCTCCTCGCTCTTCGCCACTGGGGACATTTCGCGGGGAGAAAAGTCTGCGACTCAGAGACAGAAATTCCATACTGATGACGTAAAATCTGTCCGGAATCCGGTCAGAAGCGCTGATTGGTCGACGGAGTAGTTACATTGTTTTAGTTATTGTTTACGAATGACAGACAAAAGACAAAAGGCCACAAAGGTCAAATGTAAACGCGAAGGATCTCTAACAAAACAGTCAATATTTGTAGAATATAGTGTTCTCTAGAAGAAGCATTTGAGTTTTTGCCGGAGCTCGTAGGCACATGAACACAACACTTTCTCAAAATCGTACAGAAGACACGTAAAATTGGACAAAAATATATTTGGAACCTCATGACCACCGGATTTATTATTATGTAAACACTGATTTGCGTCATCATTATGGAATTTCTGCCCCTGAGTCGCAGACGTTCCTCCGCGCAAAACGTCCCCAGCGGCGAAGAGCGAGGAGAAACGGATGTTTTCGCAGGCTAACCCAGTGGAAGTCGTGTTGCTTGGAAAATTTAATGCAACTCAACGTCACAATCGATGACGTCATTACTTTTACCAACCAGATATACATATGTAAAGCCAACTCATGTTTCTACTTCGCTGTGCTATCCACGCGCGTTCCACGCGAAGTGCGAATTTCAACAATAAAATCGCTCCACGATTCGCGTGGAATTATCGTTCTTGAGTTTTAACAAAGCTACCAGTTTATCGGCACCAATTTCATACATTTGATCTTTCGATAAATTTTGTCCATGCTTTTAGGCCCGACGATTGTCAAATGACGTGTTTTTACTATCCTTCCAACAGAAATACTGGCAAACTTAATACTGAAGAATTTACGTTACTCGGCTTTAACGACTTAATATCTATCGACTTTAGGCTTACTCCTTGGGGTCTCTGACCTCCAAGTTTTATTATGCCAAATAACAACATACCGTGTGAGATACTCTCCCCCACGATTTCCTTATTTGTATATTCTCCAAAGCGCATGACTTTGCGTTCGTCGCTGTTGATTTTTTTTAATTCGCGGATGTCTATGTGAGAACCAATTCCCACTGATAAAATCATTATTCCCATCTCTTTGATTTTCTTGATTTCTTTCTCAACGAGCTCCTTGTTTTGTTTTAAACTAACTTTGTGATCAGTAAACACCACCAAGACCTAAAAACAATGTTGCAAACAACAATTTAGTAATTCAGCGGTATTTAAACGTTAAACTGCTGCTCAGACGAACTGGGAGACTCAGCACGGGTTATATATACAGTATATATAACGAACTTAAGTGAACAATTTCAATTTGTTAATGAAGAACTTCTTTTGAGTGACAACATTGTAGAAAGCTAAGCTGCTATGACTACGAGAAGTCCCTTACTTCAGTCTTAAAACTTAGCGGAGGGACTCGCCTAACACGCGAGTGGAGAAACTGTGAGAGGCAAGGAGCGAGCGAGCCATCAGTCACACGCGTGACTATTTTCTTTTCGCACGGGTTTAGCTCGTCGGACTAAGAAAAAAGATGGCTGCTTGTAGTTTTACATTAAGAAGACGCCCAGAGCTGTTCATTGGGCTTCCGTTAGCATCTGGGTAGTATTACACGTCCTAGATAGATAAACGAGAAGTTTAAAAGAATAGACAGCCTAAATCTTGAACAACCTTGTTAATTAGCTGACCCTAAAGGGGAACTTTGCACTCGCCTCGGCAGAAAACGACTCCCGGGCAAGGCCTTTCGGTCGGGCAGGGGCCTAATGGCTATGCCATGCTGGTGAACTCTAAGATTTAAGTTAAGGCTGTGTAGCGTGGCAATGAATTTATTTGGAACTAAATCACTGCTGACTCATTCCAGTTCTGACAGCCACCCCCAAACTAATGAGAGTCACTAAACCATTTCAGCGTCAACGCGAAAACACAAAGCCTTTTAAGTCAGCACGTAACTGAAGCCGTAACTTGCAGTAGTACTGTATTTGCCTCCTACTGTGTGGAATTCCTAGTTTTGGCGCCCGGGTCTTTTTTACATTTATTCACATTGAAATTCAGCCATTCGAAAAACGTGTGTTTTATTAAAGGGGGGCTACTAAAATTAAAAGCCGGTCTCATGCTGGCAAATGAAATAGAGACGTGCTTTATCGAAACGGTAACACCGCCTTATGGGTTTGATCCGGTTGATTGTTGCATTTGTCGCAAGTGTTTTTGATGGAGACGACCGAGCAAAAGAATGTTTAGAGTGGTCATTGCCAGCCTAATAACTTGCATCACCGATGTATACATATTTTTAGAGAGTTTAAAAAAGAGGACAGCGACAGCAACGGGAACGGCAAAACGGCAACTTTGCACGTGCATCACGCCCTTGTACATTTCTTTGTCGTCACTGCAGGACTACGACGTGAAAATGCCTAATTTCACTTTTTGAGGATTACGTGTACCCAATACAACGCTTTTCTTTTCCTTTTCCTGAACTTCGATACAGTTTTCTAGAATTCAGCTCCAGAAAAATTTGCCAACATTTGAAGAATAGACCTTTTTTTACCGACACAGCGTCCATATTGAATTTATTAGATTTAAGGAGTATTATGGGATGCCCAGGGGGCACTTGCTTATTCTGATTCACGCGCGCTTTTCAGGCGAAAAGAGAACTTCAATGTAAATTTCTCGGGAAAAAGGTGATTATTATTACATCGAAATACGGCACAACGATCTTTTTTCCCAATTCAACCTTTTTCTAGGAAGACTTACAGAAAAATTGGCCCGCAAAGCCCACGTAAATACTGAGCGAGTATATCGGATCGTTCTCATACCCCCTGGTCATCTCATAATACTTGTGAAATCCAATTAATTCAATATGGCCACCGTATCGGTAAAAAGATGGAATCAAAAGCGTGATAAAGTTTGAAGCGGGGCGAATTCACTTTTTAAGTGACGTTCTCGTTGGCGTCGCCGTCGTTGTTGTTTAAACTCCCTGTTATAATTGCTGGTTTGCACGTGACGTCACGGCGGCCATGTTGGTAGTCAAGAACAAAAGCGTTTCTCTCCTCTGGGAACTAAACTCTATTTTCATGTAAATTCTTCGAGAAAAATTCTATTGTTCTGATCCCCAACATGGCCGCCTTGTCACGTGGTTGAAAGGAAACAGAAAAGGACATGAAAAATCTGACTAATACGCAATTCGATTGGCTTGAAAGCTAAACTGTGAGTTTGAACAATAAATCTAATCAATAAGAAAGCATACCTTTGTACACTAACTAGCAGCTACCTTTTCTGAGTTTGATCCCTCACTCTGTTTGAAGGCTTGTTCCACTATCCTCAGATCATGATGAAGGGCAGGAATTTTCACCTCGGTATTCCTTGTTAAATGTCCCACGCCTTCCGGTTAACAAATCTCTCTCAGAGATGTATCTTCATCTCCGTGTATGAATATCTGAACCTTCACCTGGTAGTCTTTGTACTTGTGCAGCAAATAATCTATGGTGCATTTCATCAGGTCGAAGGCATCGTCTGCGGCATCAGAAGTTGCGTTTATAACAAAGGCAAGATCTATCTCTGTAAGTAATCATTATTTTCTGATAAGTATAGCGATTAACAACTAAATAAGAAACATTTACGTAGCCACGTCGTCATGCAATCCTGTGGTGGTAACGAGTCTGTCTTGGTCTGATGATTACTGTTTAAGAAGGGTGCGAGTCCCCCCCCCCCTTCTCCCCTCCCCGGCTCTTCCCCTAGATCCGCTACTCGTGCCAAACACTGAGCAAATGTGTTTCTAAGATAATTACCGTGACTCCGAAAATATAACATCAATGAAGGAAAGTTGCTGAGAAAAAGAAAATTGCATTATTTCAGTTAAATTTGTTTTCCCCTTTCATCATCGTCTTCATTATATTATTCTCAAATTGCAAAAATATATTAACTCCACAGAAACAAAGTGAAACACCGCAGGTACCTGGCTCTCAACCGCCACCGGGGTATCGAGGTCGTGCAAGCGTTGCTTAATATATTGTCACGTGACCATCGTAGTTAGGTGACATGATAAGGTCTTCACTTTGAAGTTATATCTAAAAGCCGGGAAAAGTTTCAGCAGAGTAATCTTATTTCTGCATTATGGACCTGATCTAGAAATCAAATTCGTTTCAAATCGTTTGTAGAGTACTAATCTAATACTATCCCAACTTAATTACTTGCCTTTACTTCGATGTACAACTCTGTTAATGCGATGCTTTATATAAAGCAAAGGGAACAAGAATGGAAACAAAATGATGTCAAATAAACACCAAATGTTGAGAAATATCCATGTCCACCATCCGACCTCCAGCCAGGAAGATCTCTCCATTTTACCGAATGTTCCGAACCATTTTTTCTTCATTAAGTTCTGCACAACTGGATGAGCGAAAAACTGCAATAAAAGTTTGCACATAACAAAAAAAAATTCGTTAATATTTGAAAATGCAATCGATTTATTTTTTGTTATCCAATCTGATTTATTTTCCAAGGGTTTACTTTGATCATTTCCATGCAAGTGAAAAGATGTCTCATCATAACTCAACCCAGTAGCAAAATCAACAACTCAAAGCTGGTTTGATCCAGATACATCGCATATAACGAGAAATCAAAAGTAAAACCATTAGCATTGAACGAACTCAAAAAATCATTGTTCACCATGAGAAATCTCGTGATAAAAGCTACCATATTTACTTAGCTAAACTGTACATGGTTATAGCACTAGAAATCAGTGCACCTCTTTTGCTTCCGTTTGATGCCAGCTTCTACAATACAATCCAGAGTCTCCCCGAAGATATAACGAGCCTCTTTGTCGGTCTTCAAAGGCTCAAGTAAGCAGTTGGTGAACTCGTCCACTGAGTTTGCCAACTTGGTGAAGTTATCTTCGTCTTGTCCCTTTCGTTCTGCTAACCGTTGGAGCTCAAAATTTACCTGTGGCAGTAAAGGGGAGGGAGAAAAAGCCGTTGGTTTAGAAGGATTCTAGTTTGTATTTGAATGCATTTATAGAGATCTATCAGTACTCTGGATGGCCTGAAAAGTTTTTTCATCGTATTTTGGAGGAAACCGTCGTTGGGTGCCCCTGAAGCGTACCGTTCGGTGATAAATGAAGAAAGATGGCAATGTGAAAATTCTAAAGTCAATGAGAGAGATGCAATAATCGCTATGTCACGACCGTGGAACACTGAAGGACAAGTAGTAAGCTTTCATACCAAATCCTCACTAGAATTATTAATCATAAAAAAGCAACTACAACACATAAAGTAGATCAGAAGGGAAGAATTTACTAGAACAAACAACAAATAAACGAATATTTTGTTTTTTCATGACCCACCTCCATTGCCATAAGTAACGCATTGGTGTTGCATTTTGTAAGAGCGCGCTGTGATAACTCGTTAGTGATATCATCAATATCGCCTTTCCTTAAAATCCTCCTCAGTTTACATTCAAAATCTAGTGACAAAAAGTTTAGGGGTAAGCAATTTTGTTAAACCAAGATTGTGCGTGGGAGAACTGGCTATTGCTGTCCGTCGGAGGTCCTCCGGCCAATTTTGAATGAGCGTGTGCCGCTATAGGTTCGCGAACATTGAGAAAGTATAAAGTATCTAGATTTAGCCAGGGTTTAAAGCGAAGCCTCCACTCATGTACTTATATTAAAAGCAGTTAACTTTAAACTAATAAACCCTAAGGCACTAAAAAGAAATCCCTACTTAACTCTAGGAGCCTTCGATATCAGTTGACCTCCTTTTCAGGGAGCGGTTGAGTCATTAATAAAAAGTATCCTGAATTGAAAACACACCTAAAAGGAAAAAAAAAAGACCTCTCCCAAAGAGGTAAAAGTCGCATAGTTTCACAATGCATAAAGTTCGATCTCAGTAGTAGAATTCTTCCAAACTACATCATCGAACCCCCGCCACACCACTTTATAGATCTCTTTAGGTAGCAGCAGTTTACATTTAACGATTTCTAGAGTCAGTATATCTGTCTTAAGGGAAGACCTAAAAGAAAAAATCAGGCCGAAGTTTGTGTTCCCATAAGCTTCTTATGCGTTTTCTTATCGGGCCTGGACAAACAGTTGGTGTAGCCTTTACATTTATACCTCACAATATCTGATAGAACATTTTATCATTAGGGGACTTTTTGTTTTCTTTGGGTACAGACCTAGGACAGCAAATAACTCATTTAATTTTTCGTTATTAATAACTATAATACTGTAACCTGCACAAAATGTGCAGTACATGTTCAGGTTTTGTGCATAATGCAGTGAATTCACTGAGAAACGTGCGATAGATTTATTCCAGTACAAATTATTAAGTAAACGTTGCACCAAATTACTTTTTTTTCGAAATGGCTAACTCGGGCTCGGAAAGCCGACTAGTCTGTAGTTAGTAGAAAGGAAAACTCTTTTATATCTAAGAGATACGTATACTTTTTTCTGCAAGGATAGAAAGCGTAAACAAAAGCATCAAACCTACGGTGACGTCAAAACCAAATTTTCTCGCTTCGATAGGTTTCCACTTTCTATAGCAGAGGAGGCTCCGCTTTAAAGAAAGGCAAAGGGTCCGTTATTTAAGCGAAGTCTAACTCAGGCCATGGTTTAAGAAATCATTGGACCTCCAGATCTCTTCCATAATGGGTTACTGGCAGAAGAAAAGTACTTTTCCAGTCCACGATATATTCTTTAACGAAATTGTTCTCGATAAGTTGTGTTTAATTTAGATAAAAGCGTTGGGCAAATTGAAGATGGCTTAGAACGCGGTTTTGTTAAACACTAGCTGAAACTCCGTTTGAATAACCGGCCCAAAAAGTCTTGACGGTTTCGCTTTTTCTTAATTCACAATGGACCTTCATATGGCATTGAATTCTATAGTAAACACAGTTAGTATGTTAGCAAGGTTACTTTAGAGTCATGTAGAGTCTGCGCCTTAGGCACGCCCAATGTAGGGATCACATTGCCAAAAAAGGATAATTTGTTTTAGGAGCGGGACACCTCTTAACTAAACCCCATCTCGCGCCACGTACATTGATATAAAGCTTAAATAGGGGAGTCCATGCAACACTTATTCCTTTTAATAAGTTCAACATTCCACCAGTACTAACCTTTCCTTTCTTCTTTATTTCTACTCGAATTATCACCATTCATACTTTCCATCTCTATAATCTCTTCACATTGGTCAGTCATTATTTAGCGTTGACTTCTATCATGAAAAGGAAAAGAAACATGAATTTTTGCGAGTTAGAAATAAGCCTATTAAAGATTGCGTTATTTCGTTAATAACCAACTAGTTTCTTATCACTCGGTAACTTTAACTGTCCCCTCCTCTCCAACCCTTGCCCTGGGCCGGGCCTAGGGTCAAATATTATTGTTTTGCCCTGTTCTTTTTGGTTGTTGCAAGGAAGTAAAACCAATAAGGCGCGAGATAACTAAACCGTAAAAAGCAACGGTAATAAGTTTGTGGTTTTGAGGTTTGCTTGCGTATTCTGAACTTTATTGCAATTGGCCAGTACGCAATCAACGTTCCTGAAAATTTTCAGGTGTTCAAGGTTTTCTGAGAATGGTTGTCTTTACACTAGGCTGTTAAGTAAGACTTAAGAGCTGCTAAGTTTTACTTAACCAAAAATCCTTGTGTGAAGGCCTAAGTAAAATCTCAAGTAACTTTTAATTACTTTGCATCTCATTAAATTCGGAAAATTGAAACGATTCAAGAGAGATTCAAGCGACTTGAAAACCATCCTCATAACCGACTTAGCAGACTTGCAGTTTCTTGCGGTTTCTTGAACTTTGAGAAAGGCGAAACATATCAATCAATTAATTATTAATAAATTATCAATTAATTATGTTGCGTGGGAAAATAGCCTTAAGTAAACCTGAAGTAAAAAAGAATCGGTTGTGTGTGAAGCTTTAATTTACTTGAAGTAATTAAAATTTACTTGTCTTGAAATATTTCTTAGCTTATTTAGGCTCTAGTGTAGACTAAGACTACCAATGACAGTAACTCTAGAATAAGCTTTTTATTTATGATCATTCATTAACCATGTTCATCTTATTGTCGGGCCACAGCTTCTTGAGGTGTTCAAAATGAAGAGTCTCTTGACGCTGATTTGCGACTGAACGTTCTCTCGGAGACGAGAGCTGGATCAAACGATATGCCATTGCAGCTCCAGTTTGACTTTCGATTTAGAAGGGCCCTAAAGGGGCACTTAAAACAAATGTGAAGAACAAAATTCTGCTACTACACAAATGCCAAGTCTCATTACCCAAGAGTGGAATCCGATTTAAGGTATTCAGAACCACTTGTACCTAAGATGTCCCCGCTCTCATCAGCACAGTTAACCAAGTCCCAATTGCCAGAAATGAGAGACTACATGGCCAATAAAGCGGGGTCAAAGTGTTGCACACAAAGCGGTGAGGAACATGAGTACAAAGGACAACCCAGGTACTCTGCCGATGAATATCTGTTTTACAGAGCAGCCTACAAGTCAGTGAGATTGGAAAGGTCCAAGGAGAAATGACAGAAACAGTAGTTACTGCAAGAAGGGAGAGGGGACGAAAGGAGGGGTCAAGTGTCTATCTTGCGTCTGATGCTTCATCTTGCCAAAAAAGCAAGGACAACGTGCTTTGATGCCGATGTGTTCAATCCGTTAACTTTCACAGAAGAGGCCGAAAGGGAAATCAATGTTAAAGACATATGATAAGCGGTTCTTTGAAAGAAAGCTTCGTTTATGACAAAAATTTTCAGGGGCACCCAGCGGTGGTTTCCTCCTAATTACATCGTTTTTTAGGCTATCCAGAGTACTTTAAAATCTCTAGAGATGCATTCTAAGGGGTGTTATAAAATTGTACCTGTTCGGTCATCCTAGGGGAACTTGAGTGTATTGGAAATTTGACTTTTGAGGGAAAGGCTAAGTTATTTCAGAGTAAAACATCTTACATCGAATTGATAGCCTTGGATCTACATCCAAAAAAATAGCAAACATCTTCGATCACACTCAAGATCACAGTAGATTAGGCCTCGTGGTGAGGGTCTTTGTATATTTACCTCCTTTCTTTTTTCAGATTCTGGACTTTATCTGTCCAATGGTTTTGATTTTTATTTTGATCTACTTTGAATAGCGTGACACTGAAAACCAGCAATATGGACCATTGTAGCATGTCAATATTGGACAAATCTCCTCAAATTATGATTCATACACGAGTTTTATTTCGCAGTTTCTCGTACCTACATCATGTCGTCATTTATCTGCATGTCGGGCTCGTTTAAGCATGGCACTGTTTTTTTTTTATTGCTTGTCAGGCGGCTTGTTTAATGGAGTGTATGGAAGGCGGAAATGATGCGTCAAGGATCGAGGTGCTCAAATTGATTATCT